TAGTACGTCATGTAACATTAAAGTACGATCTTGAAGTAGAAAGTGATGCTCAGAGGTCACACAACCTTGGGAGTAAAATCCACTGCATATTTGCAAAACGTTATGCAATGCTCCTAATGTTTACTGTCTTCAGATGGGTGTTTACTTTTTCTCCGTAGCGGCTGATAACTGACGCGTCTTGCCCGACCCGTTACAATCGATATTCCCCGTTGTATGAAATATGCTACAAGGTTTATATGCACATTTTACCGCGAATTATCTCATCTCACATTCGTATGTTGTCACTGAAATGTCATTCGTTTAAGAGTCTTCCTTGAAGCAGTTGCCCATCCGGTCAAGATGGTCCTTAATTTACGAAACCTGAAGATTCATAAGCGTTTTCACAAAATTCAGCGGTTATAACCTACGCTAAGCCGGTAGATTCCGACCTCCACCTCCATATTTTATTTATGTACTGTGACGTGAATGGCGCAACGGGAAGTGGGGGTCACGTGAACTCTGCGGTCTCGCGAGTGACGTCACATACCCCCACCCCTTGCATTACACGCAACGCTCGGTAACCGCCCCCTCCCCCGCGGTGACGTAACAGAGAAGCGACTGTGTCAAGCACCCATTTCCGCGGTGGTGTTACCAAGGGATACCGCCGTTGCAACGCAGCAATAAACAGCTCTCGACAGCGTTGCTAGCAACACCTGTAAACACGGCGTCAGGCAAGAGCGGTACCTATCACGTAACTCTTTTCTGTGTTGTCCGTGCCGAGGCTAAATAAGGAGCAGCGAACACTATTCAGTAGTGAGTGAGGATTGAGCCAGTTACGAGTTAATTAGTATTGAGCCAGTTACTATAGAGAGTAACCAGTTAATTTCAGTCTAGCATTCGCCGGAGTGGGTTGAAGTCCATTGTTATCTAGTGAATGGCAGCAGTAAGTGTGACACTGCAGATGGCAGTAGTCGTAAAATTGTAAACTGTATAAGTGTAAGAGCGAAGTGGAATAAATTTACTAGATCCAATAGGGCGTGAAGTTATTTGTTGCGTGACATATACCCAACACGTGATAGTACGATAGCTTTTTATCCTAAATCTATGTGTAGGTTCCAGAAGTGATATTCCTTTCAGAATTTGTATACCCCTCTGGCCCTGGTGTGCTGTGCGCAATAACTGAAACAGATGTAAGCAGTTCATATCTTCACATATTGTTTTATATGATAAATTTTAATATTATACTTTCATCTACGCCTATGTCTTCCAATCTCTTTGTTTCTGTTAGGGGTTTCGCTCTGGATTTTATATGCATTTTTCGTTTCTCCCGTACTGAAACTAACTTACGTCTCATCCTCGATTTGGTCACCCCAATAATGCATAGTTATAAAAGAAATTATTAATCTCTTTGCGTAATTTCTTCCTTCCTTTAGTTATTCTTTCGTAGACTGAAATGTGTTCTTCGGCGCTTTGTTTTCAAATAACATCAAAGTATTGTGACATGTTGACCCCTACCTCCCCAGCGGTAACGTGACGCTCGCGTAATAGGCGAGTTCCCGCCCCGCCACTCCCCTCCGCGGTGACGTCACCGAGGGATATCGCGGTCGCTAGGCAACGCGAGTCAACAGCGGTTACCTCCGCTAGCGTTACATAGCAACACAGCGCCAGGCAAAAAGGGTGCCTATTACGCGGCCGTTTTCCATATGGTCCGATCGAGGTTACATAAGGAGCAGCGAAGGCTATTCACAGTCAGTTGTACTGTGACAGCCGCCGAGTTGTTGTACTGAGTTGTACTGTGACAGCCGCCGAGTCGAGACGTAGAGTCAGCCAGTCAGTTGTATTCTGGCATTTGGAGTGTACTAATTGTGATACTGCAGATAGCAGTAACCGTAAATCTGTAATTTGGGTGATTGTAAGTGCGAATGTGAAATAAAATTCGCTACATCGAATACATCGAGAATTTATTTGTCGCGATATACGCCCGATACGCGACAGTACGAGTATATTCTCTCAGAACTAGGGACAAAATTTCACATCACAAAAAAAGCAGGTAAAATATTTGTTGTATGCTGTATTTTAATATTTACGTTGCTTAGTCATTGTTTCTTCTGGTGACTGTAATGTAAAGTTGCCCCTGTATTTGAGCTCTAAGCTGTGAACATATGGGTAGTAGATTAGAGCTACACGCGCTCTCAATGTCGATATTAGATTATGAGTGGTGATCTTCACCCTCCGACCACTTTACCCTCCGATAAAGAGGCCAGTAAAAAGTGATATAGCTCTTTCAAATAAGAGTTGCCTTTAAGAACACTAAATACCTGAATACAACGGAATATATTTGTACTAGAAAATGGATGAAAAAGTAACAGTGCAAGCTCTTCTGCCCTCTACTCGCCTGATACATCACATAACAGCCTGAAAACGTGTACACATTATAGGCTTACAAGTGTAAGTAAATATTGAATTCATGTCAAACTATTGGTCGGTTCTTCTACACAGACCCCAAACCAGTAGAGACGTAGGGGCAATATGTGATGTAATGGAAATATGGGTGCGAAGCTTAATGCCGCATTCTAAATGACGAAAATGGATTAAAGGCATTTGAGAACTAAGTGTTTAGGAAAACATGTGGAACCAAGATAAAGGAAATCAGAAGATGGAGAGGATTGTACAATGAAGAGCTTCTTCGTGTATTTTTTATGAGGTTATTAAATAAATATGTTGAGATCGCATTGAAGAAATAATAAATGCACTCACAGTTCTGGTCTGGAAACCAGAAAAAAAAAAACAGCTACAGAGATCTAGGCATAGATGTGAGGAATGCAGTGTAGGTTACGACATGTTGACTGGATTCAGCTAGCACACAGTAGGTTTCATTAGCGAGCTTTCTAAAAATGGTAATGATCCTTCAGTTCCATAAAAGCAAGGACTCGGTAAATATAAAGTTTTAGAAAGACTGTCCAGAATTAAGTTAACTGATCATCATGATTATGATTTCAGGTTCACACAGAAGAGTTCTGATATATAACGCTGTGCATTCCGTTGAAAGTCAGGTGACGTTTCGGAGGCTCATGTCGGCTCCATCTTTAGAGTCGAAGAATAAGCCAAGCAAGAAACCAGCGTAAATCTCTGCTTGCTGCCTACTTCACGTGATTTTTTGCTTAGCGTATTCTTCGACACTGAAGATGGAAGACATGTTCCTCCGAAGCTTCGGCTGACTTTCAACGGATTACACGTCGTTATATTCCAAAAGACAGAACTCTTCTATCATGGTGATTATGACGATAGGGTCTCCTATGCTTGCGGCCCTGGTGGCTGTCACCTTGCCCATCGCTAAGCGCTACCAGCTTCCGGAGACGAGCCGTAACCTTTGCTTCTCCCTGCAGTGCTTTCCCACGTGACAATGTTTTGGTCGCTCCTCGCGTGCGGGTGTTACGTGATCACTTCCGTGAACAGTGATCAAGCTTGCAATTACACTGGCTGAATTCACCGATATTTTCATTATGCTGACTGACATTATGGCTCCATGTTGTTATTCCCCGACCATTTACTAACCCGTTCTTTCCTTGTTATTTTCTAGTTATTTTTCTATTCCTAGTAGGGCCTTTTCCTTCTTCATTTCCAGATAGGCTCTGGGACTACCCACTCTCATATCCTATGGACACCGGGGTCTCTTTCTACAAATACCAGGCAGGTTTGTCCAGCGGGAACACTTGTATTCAGGAAATACTGGATGCCATCTCTGTACCCAACTCTTGAAACACTGGGAACTCTAGTGTTGTATTTTCCTGTAAAGTAAATTGATGTCCCCAACCCAGTTCACGATTTTTATAGAGGAACTCTCAGTCTGCAGCAAGTCTCCTCACAAGCGTCTCGGGGTCAATAACTATTTCACGTACTCTAGACCAGAGCCCGAGATATGAATAACAAACCAATTCCATGAAGCAGACTCCTCCTCCAGAAGCTCGATAGATGGTCGCAGGGGTCCGCCATTGAACCACGTTCTGGGCATTTGAATAGTGAATTCCTTGCGTTTAGTTACAACTGCGTGGAACAGGTTTCTTCTTGAGAAGCAAATAGTTGCTTAACCACTCCAGAATTCCCCGCCTTTCGTGGAATTCGTAGGTTCATTGCTGTGTTCACAAGAACCTGCCACTAGTTATGTGTGGCACATAATGTAGCAAACAGAAGTTGTGTATTACTACTACATCTATGTTTTATGACTTGGACCAATTTTATTTTTATGAGCCGTCTATCAGAAAGTTGCAAGATTTAATTTTTTTATCGATGGGAGCCGGGATAGGTCAGTCGGTATAGCGACGGGCCACGGGCTGGACGGCTGTGGTTCCATTCCAGATGTTTCTTTTCTCGATAATCTGTAGACCGGCTCTGGGGCCCACCCAGCCTCCTATCCAGTGTGTACCAGGGAGATATTTCCTCGGGACTAAAGCGGCCAGGGCCTGAAGCTGACCACTCACCTCAATCTAGTGCCGAGGACAAGAATGGTGTAGCTATACCTTCACTCCCCCACACGCCTTCATGGCACAGTGCTTATTAGCTAATTAAACGTTGCCTGTTTTTACCTTTGTATTGGAGCGATATGAACCAAAGTTGAATTTCCCCAGTTCCATGTTTAATCGATAGCAGTTGAAAGGTTTCGGAGAGAAAAATTATGGACAAGCAGACATGGCTTTTCCTTTCACGCGTTCATTTTATTCATCTCGTCAAAGAACGAATTTAAAGTAAAATTTTATCACTACTCAGAACTGGGTTTCTGAACAATACTTCACTGTATTTTCTGTGAAAGACAGAGATCTTTACTCCATGTATGTAACAAGTTCATAATTTTTGTGTGTACGTAACCTAGTGGGAAATTCGGATAAGAGACATGTCAAAATCTGAACGTTGAATTAACGCTTCCGTTGGTGGGATATTTGTACTTCCTCTTGTTCCCATCTCTACTTCCGCATGTTCTCAGAAGGTGAAGGTCGACGACTCGTGACGGTTGTGTTATGTTGCAGGTGGACGGTGGCTGCATGCCAGGCCTCAGCGCCACCCTCACCATCCTCTCCCTCGCGGCCAACCTTGGCAATGTTCTCCGTCTTCCCCGCGTCGTATATCTGAGTGGCGGCGAAGAGGCCGGTAAGTAACATTCCGAAAGTTGGCAACGAAGTTGCATCTGTCTACGTTTGAGGGGTATGTTCCGTTGTACTTTATTCTAACGAAAATTTAAAGAGGATACATTCGTCCTGTAGCATGATAAATTAAGCAAAAGACATGTGAAGCACAGAGGATCATTGGATGTTATTATAGAGCCATGGGTGTCTAACCTGTGGTGGGTGACCATGTGCGGGACATAATGATTGCTGTGGGCCACTAGCATTTACGACTGAAATCAGTTACATTTCAAACATTTTTATTATATTTGACTTATTACTTATCATCACTGTTGTCATTGTCATGATTCTTCTCAGTGCACTTATTCCTACGGTCTACTATTGCTTTACCTATTTTTGTTGCTGATTAATTGTTTATTTGACACATGAGACAGGATAGCTCAGTCAGAATGGCGACCAGTCCGCGAGCTGGACAACCAAAGAATCCGGGTTCGATTCCCGGCAAGAGAAAGAGATTTTTCTCCTCCATAACATCCAGTCTGGCCCAAGATCCCATCCAGACTCTATGCAGGTCAGCAGCTTGCCTGTGAATGTAAATTTTTGCTTAGTTTTCAGAAGAGGCAACAAGTATATCCCCTTTAAGCATTAACTGTAATGCGAATATGATAGGTTTTATGGGCAGTAAGAACCAGATTTTAAATATTGTTTTATGGAACATCATGATTATATCATGATTCAGATGGATAGGCTAATTAAATTTGAATTTCAGTTTAATTTTAATTAAATTGTTTTATTGATAATGCCCAAAATGTTTTTGTTAATTTGTTATACTAATTCTCAGTATCATGTTAGCCAAGATAGCCCAATAAAGGTATGGACTAAGGCTCTGTTCCTGGTGGGGGTAATGATTTTACACCACTACATTCAGGACTGCACTGAGGTCTACTGAGTTGCCATTTTAAAGATACTGGAGTCTCTTCCCCTGGGAATGAGATAGCAGAAGCATCAAGCCAACCCCTGGCTTCCATCTAGTGTCTGTGTAACTTTTCTCTCAGTCCCCAAAATACTCCCATGATAAGATATTTAAGTTCAGGGGCAAATTCATCTTTATCTTCCCAGTATCAAATTCAATTAAAATATAGGCAAGGAAATAAACTTGATTCCATGAGAATCAAAGTCTGTTATGGCAAGCAGAGTATATATGAATAGGAATTAAAATTATCAATACATACTGTTGCTGTTTTTATTATTTTGTGTGGCTTTGGATCCGGTGATGGCATACATGCTGTTCTTGCTCTTTGCACAGTACATCTCTAATTCTGTGTTATCTTCAGCCACCTGTCTTCATCCATTCTATCTACATACTCATCCCATCCCTTTATATGTGTAGTATTTTGTACCACTTCATTATCAACCATGAATGTTGTCCATAGTTTGGAGGTCCCAGAATATGTTGTTAGCTCAGAGTCATCTTGACTTAGATTGTTTGTGGTATTCCTCAGTGGCTCCAGGCAAATTCTTGGGTGGTGCCTCAAATGAAGATATAACAACTTTTTCCCATATCCTTTCCAGTTCATTATATGATAATCATCCGATCATGCTGGACTGTATAGCCTGAGTAAGCAAACCAAGAATGTACTATTGATCTTAAATTTCCCATGTATTCCTTTATATATTTTATCTCTATATGATTCTCTGATATAGCCTGTGTACTGCAAAGTATAGTCATCTCTTTTGTAAAAGTATGGTGAAAGAGACCGTTATGACCAGAACTTAAAATGAAGAAAATACTGTCATAACTCTTGACTCTCCCATCATCAAATAACTTTCTGTTGTCTCATTGAGAAAATTGGCTCAAGTGTTAATGCATATGATTCATATGGAGGGGTTGCCAGTTTGAATTTAGGCCTGGACACCAACTATCCTGACTGAGGATTTTCATGGTTTTCATCAGGATTTCCAGGTAAATGCTGAGACAGTACCAAAAAAAATCGAACCATAAATGGTTCCTTCCGCATACTTTTCCAGTTTGTTATTCATTATCACCTAGTCATCCATTGCTTTATAATATAAGTTACAGATAGTATCATTAAATAAACTACAAGTAAATAAATAAATTGTGCTGCCCAACTAGGAATTATATTGGCAAATACATGCTGGCATAATATTATGCTGAGTACTTCGGTTTCCCCTGCCAATCCTCATTCCATCAAATTCTCCATAAGCATTATCACTAGTACAGGTACAATAGGACATATGGAAGCCGACGTGCCGAGGAGACCTAATATGGATTCCACCTATATGAAATCTTAACTATTTTAATCTATTGTAAACAATTTTAAGTATTGTAACTTTATTCTCTTATTGTAATCAGCCAATGTACAGTAACTGACTTGTCCTATATCATGTAACAATGATATATAGAGACGAAATAAATAAATAAATTAATGTGCATTATATTACTGAAGTCCATGTTAGTTATCTTTTTGAAGGAGGTGAAAACATTTGTGGGATGTCATTACATGAAGAGACAACCACTTGTTGAACTGTTCTATAGTATTTATTACAGTTGCACAGTATACACGGACAAACTTGTGTTTGAAGAATTGAAGAATAGTAATAACAATAGTGAACTCCTTGAACACTGAACTAGAATTGTAGAAATGTAGAAATCTAGAACTTTAAACTTCAAAGTCCAAGTCACATTGTGACTGACGGTCAGTCAGTCAGTCAGTAAGTCTTGGTGTCGAGACCCATTTGGGGCTCATGACCAGATATTTATTACCTTTAACAGTTACAGTCTTGTTTTTGTGGGGCGCCCTCTCTGATGAGACAACAGGTCTGCCTTTTGTATGTGCTGCTGGCCCTTGCCAGTGCAGTCTTTCTAGGGTCTGAGTCCCTTGGGACTTGAGACCATATTTTACTGTCTCAGATTTGAGACTTCCCTTTTCTTTGCCTCTTACGACTCGCAGGGTCACGGTGGAGGTATTCGACCCTGCCTCCACACAGAAATCAAAGTCACATCACGACTGACAGTCAGTCAGTCAGTCAGTCAGTCAGTAAGTCTTGGTGTCGAGCCCCATCTGGGGCCCATGAGCAGCTATTAATTATTACCGTATGACAATTACGGTCTTGTTTCTGTGGGGCGCACTCTCTGCCTCCACACGGTCAATGTGTCTTCTTATATAACCTAGAGTCGGATATATAGAAAACATGTCACTGTCCATATTGTTGTAGGCTTTGCCTAGCAACAGCTGTTTACTCTCCATTGCTAAGCAATGATACTTGTGTTGAGGCATTTGCTAGGATGTGGACAGTTCCCACATCACCCCCCGCCCCGCGGAGATTGTTGCTCAGCTGTTGAAGCGAGAAGGAAAACGTACATGACGTCCAGAGCATGTAGTTCGTGCTACAGGCTTTGGTGGTACTACATGCGGAGCTGCAGTTGGGGTTGTGTCAGCTGTGGGGTTGAAGGTCTTGGTGATGGTCCCATGGCCTGTCTCGTTTAGCATGTAGGCAGGTTTGACCCTATCGGCTGACATGGTGACGAGCCTGCTGTGCACGAGGATTTGCATTGTCTTCTTCTATGACGGCGTGGTAGGGGCCGCTGTAAGGGGACACCAACGCTCTGCGAGTCGTGTCTTGCCAGAGGAAGACGTGCATGCACTTTTCGAGGTCGCTGTGCACAAATGTAGCTGGGGAGGCGTGGCGTGTTGCTGGAATTGGTCTGAGGCGGGCCATATATTGGCGAAGTTGGGTGATGAGGTGCGCTGGATCCACTGGATCGGCACTCGGAGTTAGCAGCTCTCCCGGTATTATTAGTGGCTCGCTGTACACAAACTCAGCTACTGATGCCTGCAGGTCCTCTTTGAATGCCGTGCGGCTTCCGAGGAGAACCAGTGGTAGGGCTTCTGTCCAGTGTTGGTCTGCGTGGCACATGATGGCTACCTTTAGTGTTCGGTGGAAACGTTCCACGAGTCCGTTAGCCGCTGGGTGGTGAGCGGTTGTCTGTGAGAGTTGAATGCCACAGAGCTTGGCCAGGGAGTGGAAGAGTTGAGATTCAAACTGATGTCCCTGGTCGGTGGTGATGGTCTATGGGCAACCGAAGTGGGATATCCAGCCAGTCAGTAGGGCTTGTGCCACCTGTGATGTCCAGGATGGGGATGACTTCTGGCCAGCGGGTGAAACGGTCGACTGCAGTGAGGCAGTATGTGCAGCCTCCTGACGTCGGAAGGGGTCCCACAAGGTCTATGTGGACGTTTATTGTAAATAAATATTGTGACATGTTGAGCTATGGATGACGCCCCCCCTCCCGCCAGCCGTAATGCGCCGAGCGAAGCCGAAGTTAGCCGAGGCCTAGCATCCTGGTCGCTATGCAACGCGAGTCAACAGCGATGACGTCACGAAGGGTACTGCGGGTTGCTGGGCAGCGCGGGTAACCAGGATTGCGATAGACGACGGTAGTAACAGCGGTTACTACCGCTAGCGTTGCTAGCAACACAGCGCCAGGCAACAAGGGTGCTTATTACGTGGTCGTTTTCTGTATTGTCTGATCGAGGCTACATGAGGAGCAGCGAAGGCTATTCACAGTTAGTCCTCGAGCTACCTCCGAGTTAGTTCCGAGTTAGCCAGCAACCAGTCAGTTGTACTCTGGCGTTTGGAGTGTAGTATTTGTGATACTGCAGATAGCAGTAATTGTGAATCTGTAATTTGGGTGATTGTAAGTGCGAATGTGAAATAAAATTCGCTATATCAAATACGGCGTGAAGTTATTTGTCGCGTTATACATCCAGAACGCGACAATTTTCGGCCTGAACCGCCTGTGTCTTGCTGGAGTCCAGCTTCTGGGTGTGCGTCTTTACATGGCCACTACCAGGCTTGTAGCACGCATTGTACCCAAGTTCCCATTTTGGATAAAACTGGCTTGACATTTGGCAAGGTGAACAAATGCACAGGGATCTTGCTGACTGGAACCTTCTCTCAGCTGCAGTGTTGGAAGCTACAATGTATGATTTCCTAGGCGTTCTCGTCTTCACTTGAGTGCTCCATGGATACTAGATCGTCTTCCATCTGTTCCATAGGCATCGAAACCCATCCATCCTCCATCATCTTTAATGAATGCATCTCTTCCTGGATTTGAGCATATTGTTTACCTTCTTCCTCCATCAAACTCTCCATCAAACGAATTTGAATATCTAACCGAGCAAGGTGATCGTCCCGCGCTTTTATCCTTGTCTCCATTGAATCTATCACAGTCTGAAGTTCAGTAAAGTATCTTTCCCTCGACTCCATCTCCTCCTTCATTGATTCCATCTCAGCCTCCACTTCAGCTTTGTGTTTGTCGTGTGCCTCTTGTATAAACGCCACTATATCTCTCAACTGTCGTATGGTACTTTCACCCACCTGTATATTCTTCGGCAGATGTGTCCAATCCTGTTCCCTCTCGTACCCCCCACGAAGGCACTGCAGCATCACTAACAATAGGAGGAAAATGAAGATGATGTAAGGGACAGATGTCCACCTGAAAGTCTGCTCAACTTCTGGTAACCTCCACCAGCTACGTGCTGGTTCCGTTTTGTTCGTTGTGTTGAGAACTTCAATTGGAACTTCTTCAGAGGCTGACGGTGGTTCGACGACTGGGACTGGTTCGAAGACTGGGATTACTTCAAATGCTGGAATCTGTTTGGATGCTGGGACTTCTTCGGAGGCTGGGATAAGTTCAACAGCTGGCATTTGTTCAAAGGATGGACTTGGTGTGAAGGCTGGGATTTGTTCAAAGGATGGACTTGGTGTGAAAGCTGGGATTTCTTCAAAGGATGGGCTTGGTCTGAAAGCTGGGATTTGATCGGATGTTGGAATATGTCTGGACACTGGGACTTGGGGCAATAGGTTTTTGGGATTTTTCACAAAAACTATTGATCCTGTGACTATCATGAATAATAGTAACATTCCTCTTTTACACATTTTTGCGTATTTTCTATCCTTGTTGTTAAAGAAATTAGTTCTCTCCTGCTTACTCACAAGGTCTTCTTAGTGCGTTACAGTCTTCACTAGACTTTGCTTGGTAGTGTCTTCCAACAGCGGACGCTTCTTTCCTCTGGGTTCTCGAAATCCTCCAATTCACGCAGTAACTCACAGACTGACTGACTGACTAACATAAACTCATGAATCAGAGTCAGGTCTACTTAAATTATCTCGGCACAGACACGTAGAAAACACCGTTCTTCTGTTACAATGCAATTGTTGCCGTGGAAATATGCTTGTTTAGGAAGCCGTTACGTAGCCAGAATGGACGCCAACTCGAAAGCCTGGCGAGAAAAGACTGCCGCGGAGACAAGAGGAACCCAAGCAAGCACAGTTGTCGCGTATTGGGCATATAACGCGACAAATAACTTCACGCCGTATTTGATATAGCGAATTTTATTTCACATTCGCACTTACAATTACACAATTGACAGTTTTACAATTACTGCTATCTGCAGTATCACAAATACTACACTCCAAATGCCACAATACAACTGGTTGCTGGCTAACTCGGAACTAACTCGGAGGTAGCTCGAGGACTAACTGTGAATAGCCTTCGCTGCTCCTTATGTAGCCTCGTTCGGACAATACAGAAAACGGCCACGTAATAGGCACCCTGTTGTCTGGTGCTGTCGTGCTAGTAACGCTGTGTGGAGTTGTTGACTGCTGCCTAGCAACCGTGATATCCCTTGGTGACATCACCGCTGTTGACTCGTGTCAGCAGGTTGCGCAACTAGCTACCAGGTTGCGGGGACTCGGCTAACTTCGGCTGGTGGGGGGGGGGCATCATCCATAGCTCAACATGTCACAATATGTTTAGTAGCAATGTAAAGGATAGGATAGTCAGAATAGAACCTTTCCTATCTTAAAGTTAACCTTATCTTCAACCTATTAAAAAAAATGAGGCCCCTATAGAGAACTTTGATTCTGTGATGGAACAACTTCAGAATATTGTGACAATGTACTTGAGTCATTTTCATGTGTACCCACATGACATCTTCTGTCATCAAACTTTTGACAGAATTGTTTGAATTATACAGAGCAGACGTGGAGAAATGGAATTGTATTCAGCAATTGAATTCATATCTGTTGGAGAAATGTAAAAAATATGGACAGATATGTAGTGTCATTTTTTAAGTGTGGAACTACAGCCATCAATTGATAAATTCTGCATGGCCAACCCATTGTAGCCCCATTCATGTAAGTACCCCTGTAATTCTGGGAGAACATAAATGTGAGTTCTGCAGTGTATATTTGCTCACTTAGTCATACATGTGTATTTAATTTCTTTTAGGTCAAGTTAGTCTCATTCTGATATGATTTCTTATCAACTTCTTACAAGGATCATGTACTTCAGACAGGTCATCAATGTTGAAATTGACAAATTTTTGGTTTATTTAATGATGCTATCGGTAACTCTGTGTAATGTTGGATGATTAGATATTGGTGAATAATGAATTAGAAAGGATGTTAAAGGAAGAAGTTATGACCTAATTTGAGATCCTAGCTTGTTATTTACATAGGAGTAGTGAAGAAAAAAAATATCAGAATAGCTAATCTTCAGGCTGAGATTTAAAGATGGGATCTCCTAAATATGAAGCAAGAGAACTACTTTTTCTACCGCATTTGGTATTAGCACTAATGAAATGTATGTTTCAGTATACTGCGCAGATACATGTCAGGTTATGTCATGTCTTATGAAATTTTACTTATAAGCCAGGACGTTAATTTTACCAGTGTTCCACGTGTTTCAGCTAGAAAAATATTTTGTGGCAGCTCTAATCAACCTTTTTTGTGTTCTGCAGGTACTTTCTTAGTCACGTACGTCTGTATCAGCATAGTTTTTGGTATCCCTTTAGTTTTCCTTGAAATTGGATTAGGTCAGTTCTGCCAGGAGGGAACAACAAAACTGTGGAGAGCTGTCCCTTTGTTGAAAGGTACGTGACGTGGTGATATGAGATATGATAACCTGTATATGATTACTTGCTTACTCTTGGGGCTGAGCCCTTCTGGAGGAGCCGCCAATTCTGCAGCTACTCAAGAATTTCCCAGCATTTTATGGAACCCGAAAGTTCATTACCATGTTCACAAGAGCCCTCTACTGGTCCCTATCCTGAGCCAGATCAATCAAATCCATACCATCCCATCCTATCTCTCTAAGATCCATTTTAATGTTGTCCACGTCTTGGTATTCCTAGTGGTCTCTTTCCTTCTGGATTTTCCTCCAGTATCCTATATGCATTCATCTTTGCCCCATTCGTGCTACATTCCCTGTCCATCTCATCGTTCTTCACTTGTTCATTGTAATTATACTTGGAGAAGAGTACAAGTTATGAAGCTCCTCATTGTGCAGTTTTCTCCAACCTCCTGTCACTTCATCTCTCTTCGTTCCAAATGTTCTCCTCAACAACCTCAGTCTATGTTCCTCCCTTAATGTCAGAGACCAAGTTTCACGCCGATACAGAACCACAGGCAAAATTATACTTTTGTATATTCTAATTTTTATGTTTTTGGACAGCAGACGAGAAGACAAAAGGTTCTGGACTGAATGGTAGCAAGCATTACCCGAGTTCAATCTCCTCTTAATTTCCTCCTGAATCAGGTTTCAATCTGTTATCGTTCCCAAATATCATACTGTGCCACAGTTTCAAAACATCTGTTTCCTATCTTTATGTCATGATTTTGCCCTGCATATACTTAGTTTTCTCTGTATTATGATGCATTTTTAATTATATTTTTATTTTTGAAAAATGAAGAGAAAAATATATTTAAAAGATTTGTAGTACATCAAATTTGGCAGAAAACAGTTAAGATGCTCTTTCTTTTCAAAGGAAGGCCAATCTTTCATTTATCAAAAATTTCTTATTAACATTTAGTGAACAGTGAAGAAGTTTTTAGTTTCTTTGTTAGAACCATACTTGAACAAAATGTGCATTTCATTTTGATGTCAGATGACAGCAATGCAAACAGACTATTCACTTTATAAACCCAAATGATGAGGAATGTTTCAGTATAGAAAAGATGGAATGAGTATGCCCTTTAGGATATGACACAATTGGGAACTTGGGGATTCGTATAGGTGTTACAGTACTAAGAGTAGTGACAGAGACTGTGATGAACGTGGATGGGGTGGAAATTTGGGTATGATTTCGGACAAAGGATATATACGGGATTCTGCTACGTAAATTTCTTGGAAAATATCTGTTTGTAAGCCTGAAAAGGAAACAGAAGAATATTGTCGAGATAGATATAACAGGAAAATAGGTTGTTTGGATATAAGGTATGTTAAAAAACAGGTTATGAAGATGGGAAGTGGATGGGACTATTTGAGGAACATATTAGCATTAGCAGTATGGTGGTTGGTGTCTTATGCCACACTCTGACAATTAAGTAATTTTTGTTTTTAACCTCAACTGACTGACATATTTGTAACCAATTTTCTCAACACTGAATCTTTGAGTTTTGCTACTATAGTATTTTACTTTATGAATTTAGACGAAGGATAATTGTTGTAGTGGAAGGGAATATGTTTTGGAGGGATGTTAGACAATGTAGAAGAAGTCTTGATCTAATCAGTTCTTGTCTTTTGTGACTATTATAAGCTTTATTATGGTAAACAAGTTCTCATTCTGTCTCACCATTTTAATTTACTAAGCAGAGCTCGCAACGTTGGATAACATTGTATAACTGATCATTGTAGTGACATGCCTGGCTCACATTTGACTTGCTGCCAATTTTAATCTTGACAAGGGACTTGCTGCAATGATTATTTTGCATAGTTTTCTATAGTTCAGGAAATTTCCAGAATAATTCTTTCAAAATATGCAGTGTTTCCTTCCTCTCACATTCCTCCACATTCATCAGATACAGTACATCTTTCATTTAAATATGCATAAGCTCAGCAGTTAGTATAGTGTTATAGAATGACCAGACATAAAAAAATTTGTTATCATTTCTGAGTTGTTATAAGTGAATATCATGTGAATAGAATTATGATGGATGCATGCCTCATGCTGTATAATATTTTGTCCATAGGTATTGGCTATGTGAAAATACTTGCATCAGGGCTGCTTTCCATCTACTACCCATTGCTCATTGGGCTGTCTGTGTTCTACCTAGTTTGGGGTTTGAAGGGACCCATCCCATTCCCAGAATGTTCTGAAGCAGGCACACCCATTGTAAGTTACACAAACTTATGAAACAGTTCTTATGACTGTTATAGTAACATTTCACCACAGTTATGGTAGATATTGTCCATTGTGTAAGATGAATCTGATATATGCAGTGTTTTTGGAATCGGCTTCATTCCCCTCTTCATGTGATTTGTTGTCATTATATATTGTGACATGTTGAGCTATGGATGACGCCCCTCCCCCCCCTCTCTGCAACTGAACGTGGCTTGTCTAGCTGGCTGTTAGGAATAAAAAAACGTGCACACCTCTCCTGTGGCATATATATATATATATATGCGAGAAAATAGTGGTTGTAGCGGTCTTGACAACATCTGATTAAGTTTCAAATTACAGGTTCAAGTTTTATCAATAGGTAATGCTCAGTTTTCCGTGAAACATTATAAAATGTAACTAGAACTTATGTCCTTGCTAGATGACCCAACCTGTGAAAGGTACCTACAAGAAGACGAATCAGCCACATATGTCCTATGTGATTGTGAGGCCATAGCTTACTTAAGATTTCGTCACCTGGGTCAGTTCTTCGTGGAACCAAGTGACTTTTATGACACCCCCCAAAATAAAGTCCTACATTTCATTTGAAGTGTAGGATTAATAAAGGGTCAATCCAAAAGGGAAACACGATAGATCAGTGGTTCTCAAACTGTGGGGCGTGACCCCCAGGGTGGGGGGCGAAGGGCTTGAAAGGGGGCGCAGCATACTTTCCTACAGATAAAAATTAAAACTGCCCTAAATAAATTATAAAAGCAACAAAAAAATAAAAATACATATAGAAAAACTTTTGATGAGTACAGGCTTTAATTATCATGAATTTCAAAATAACTAATAATTATTTTCTTTACCGGCAAATATAAAACAGATAAAAATTAAAACTGCCCTAAATAAATTATAAAAGCAACAAAAAAATAAAAATACATATAGAAAAACTTTTGATGAGTACAGGCTTTAATTATCATGAATTTCAAAATAACTAATAATTATTTTCTTTACCGGCAAATATAAAACAGATAAAAATTAAAACTGCCCTAAATAAATTATAAAAGCAACAAAAAAATAAAAATACATATAGAAAAACTTTTGATGAGTACAGGCTTTAATTATCATGAATTTCAAAATAACTAATAATTATTTTCTTTACCGGCAAATATAAAACAGATAAAAATTAAAACTGCCCTAAATAAATTATAAAAGCAACAAAAAAATAAAAATACATATAGAAAAACTTTTGATGAGTACAGGCTTTAATTATCATGAATTTCAAAATAACTAATAATTATTTTCTTTACCGGCAAATATAAAACGTATATGCCAGAGACAGCGTTGATAGTTCAGCAGCAGCCGCATCCTCTGAAATCCTCTGAAGTCTAGACTTTTTAAAATGCTGTGTGAGGAAATGGGTGCCGAACACACTGCTCTGTTGTTTTTTAGTGATGCTCGATGGCTTTCAAGAGGCAAGGTATTAAAGAGAATGTTTAAGCTGAGGCATGAGGTGTTCTGTTTATTAAATGGGGAAAATCACTCACTGGCAGACAGTTTCAGCAACAAGGATTTTTTATTGAAAATGGCTTACCTCACAGATATATTTGAGAAACTAAATATCCTCAGCACTTCACTTCAAGGGAATGAGGCAACTGTACTTTCTTGGAATGACAAAGTGAAGGCATTCGTGAGAGAATTAGAGCTCTGGAGAAACAGTATGGAAAGTGACACGCTAGACATGTTCCCTACTCTGGTGTCAATGGTACAAGACACTGATAATCCATTGCTTCCAATGGACATAAAAAGCTGCCTACTTGATCATCTCATAATGTTGAAAGTTCATTTCGAAAAATGCTTTTGCAGTGATTTTGATAAATGTAATTGGATTAAAAATCCATTCGAAAATGCTCCTGGGCCATCATCTCTGAATGTAAATGAGCAAGAACAACCCATCGATCTCACTAGTGATACTTCATTAAAAAGTAAATTTAAGGAATTGTCTTTGTTGGAGTTCTGGATACATATTGGCACAGAATTCCAAACTTTGGGCGAAAAAGCATTGAAAATCCTGATTCCTTTCGCAACAACTTACTTATGCGAGACATGCTTCTCTGCTTTGGCAACTATAAAGTCAAAGTATCGTTCAAGGCTGAATATTGCTAAAGAAGTTAGAGTGGACATTTCTGATATTACACCACGTTTTGATAAACTTTGTTCTCAAAAGCAGGCCCATCCATCACACAGAACTTTGACATTTAAATGTTTGATTTTCTTTACAGAAAAAAATTAAATACTTGTTAGTTAAATATCGTTTCATTTCAATACATATTTTGGTTAATTGCAAGCGTTAAAACTAATTTTTATTGTAGGCCTAGTATTGTGATACTTTAATTTTGAGTAAGAAAACTGGTAAATAGTATGTAGAAAAACACAAAATAAACTGAGTGAAACGTCAAATATACCGTGACTTCTATTTTGATAAAAAAAAACAGGCTGGGGGCCTGAGAGTATTTTCTCTTCTCAGGGGGGGCTCAGATGTAAAAAGTTTGAGAACCACTGCAATAGATCATTGAAGGTCGCAGTGCAAGGGCCAGATTTTATGGCCCACCCCTTACACACACACATACGAGGCTCGTCCACAAAGTAAGTTTCCCTGGGGCCGTTTACAGAAACAAAACACAATTTCACGGAAATATTTATTGCAACAGATACAGCAAGTGTTCGGCTATTTTTCAACATAATCGCCACCGGAATTGAGACATTTGTCATACTGTGGGACCAACTTTTGAATACCTGTGTCATAGAAGTCTGTCGCCTGGGATTGGAACCACTGTGTGACAACCATCTCCGCCTCTCTGTCATTCTCAAAATGCTGACGCTTACCGGACAGGAATTTCTTGAGGTGTAGGAAAGGATGGAAATCACTGGGAGTGAGGTCCGGGCTGTAGGGTGGATGATTAAACACCTCCCAGCTGAACTCCTGCAGGAGACTTGCTGTCCGTTGAGCCGAGTGCAGCCTAGCGTTATCATGCAGGAAGACAATACCGGCACTAAGCATCCCGCGCTGCTTGTTCTGAATGGCCCATCGCAATTTCTGCAGTGTTTCACAGTAACGCTCAGCATTTGCCGTCTCACCTCTGGTCAGGAAGTCGACGTGGAGAATACCGTGCACGTCACTTTCCGTGCCGACGTCTGCTTGAATTTTGTCTTACAGGGAGATCCACTGTGACACCAATGCATTGACTGCTGCTTGGTTTCTGGGGTAATGTGTGCAATCCATGTTTCATCACCTGTGATGATCCGGTACAGAAACTCGTCGCTGTCATCATGGTACCACTGCAGAAAGGTCAATGCTGACTCCATGCGTTCTGGTGTCAGTTGCTTCGGCACCCACCTGTTGCACAATTTCCTGAACAACAAACAGGTGCTCCGTGACAATTTCATGCAACAAGGTGCGGGAAATCTGCGGGACATGACTGCTGAGTTCCGCAATTGTGACGCGACAGTTCTCCATAATGTGTTCCAACACAAGCTCCACCAGGTCGTCTGTAATGATGGATGGCCACCCACTGCACTTCTCATCATGCACACTTTGTCGACCTGCTGAAAATTATCTGCACAAGCGACACACCATCTGCTTGCTCATGATGTTAGGCCCATAGACCCGGCACAGCTGATGATGAATTTTGATCGGCGCTATGCTCTGTGCATTCAAAAACTTTATCACTGACCGCCCTTCACAGTCGGCGGGAGTTGGAATAAGAGCCTCCATCTTCAACAGCTGCAACGATGCTACTGTGGGAATGCGGGAAATTCCGTTTGTGCATGCGCCATGCTACGTCATTGCTCTATCACGTACATGCAGTCGCTTCGTGCAATATAAGGTTTGCTAGCTGTGGGATGAGTGGGAAACTTACTTTGTGGATGTGCTACGTACATATGTCCTTGCTATTTATCATTGTATTTCATAGTGCATGATAGGGCATGGTAAATTTGAAGTTTGATAGGCTAAATTTTTTTGCATGCCTGAGAAATTCTATGCTGAGGTGCTAACAGTTGTAAAAAAATGTATAATCATAAGATAAACTATTACTGATTGTTATATTCCCAGTTATTTCTCTTTTTGTGTGATGTAAAGTTGTTTTACTTTCTTTCTTTAATTTTTTTTTCAGAATGGTGAAGAATGCTTGCAGTAAGTATTAACAGTCCATCCTAGTATGAAAGAAAACAGTACAATTTCACAGTGTCTGATAATTAATCTGTTAAGTCTTTGATGGGAATTGGATTCTTTATAACTTTTGTAGTATCAGGGGAATCAAATATGAGAGGACAAATTAAAATCGGGATATATGCAGGTACAGACAGAATTATAAATACAGATATTAAAATAAATCTCTTGTTAGTCACATGGTTGTTGCAGAGTTATCATGTTATTGAATATAATTCATTGTTCAGATGTACTGATTCAAACATCTCACAACTGCCACCTCTGCTTAATTTCAGACTTACATTCCTGAAGTCAGTAAATGAAGATGCAATGTGGTTTGGAGTCAGTGTAGCATTCCTTTTTCTACTCTGGGCACTTTTCATGTTGTGGTGAGTTAATTTCTAAACTAAAGTGAAGTTTCATGGTCGTTGTCAATACATAAATATTATTGAATTAAAAATATATATTAATATATCATAAACTCCTCTGATGGCACATATTAGGACAGTAAATTCAAACATCTTTTGGCCGCAACATTTTAAATTACTAGTTTGAAGTGTTTGTTAACAATGCTGATTTTTCCCATGAATGTCATGATTTGTAGCTGCAGTGTCACATAACCGTGTTCTGCAACACATAATGCCTGCAACAAAAATATTCATATGAGCTACTGAAGAATTAGCTATCAGTGACATTAAATCTAGCACAGACTTCATGGGAAATTTTAATTTTGATCAATATGTTTTGTTTTTTTTTTCATTTTAGCAAAAAACGTGACTTCCTTTGCAACATTTCAGAATGCATGCTTTGTAAGAAAGAAGCCTGCCTCATAAATCATTAGCATTATATGACAAAGAAATCTTGCATACCATTTTGAATGTAGTATAAAATCTATAGATGTGGAACAAAAGTTCCACATCAGCGGCAGAAGGTTCCTCCTAAACATTCATACCCATCTATCAAAGTAGACAGTGTCACATCCCAGGAGATCATAATCTTAACCCTTAAGCATGGGAGGATTTAAATCTGATCCCCTAACATGTTGTGGGAGGAGTTTCCACTGGGGTTTGAAATTCAGGCATACCAAATAACTTGAATCCTAAATTAGTATTAACTGTGTCAATTCCTCATCATGATACATACATACATATATATAGCATTCCATAGATCCTTATGTTAGTCAGAAAGACCATAGGATGTGGAATTAGTCAAAAAATCAAAATCAAAATAGCTGTCTTAAGAAGAAGAAAAAGACATTAACATGAAATAGCTTCAGTATTGGCAGTTGATAAACATTTACTAGCCAACAAAATGTCTACTTCAGTTGATTTACAACCAAGATCTAAATCTGAATGGAACAAACTTGTATATCTGTGTCAAGTTTTATTTCTGATAATGTAGCTGCATGTTTACTGATATCTAATTTGTGTTCATGTTCATGCTTCCAGCATTTTTAGAAGTGAACATTCATATAGAGCATCAGTCTACTTCATCCTTGTCCCAGTAATTGTCTGTCTCATCACCCTGCTTGTACAGTCAGTTCTAAGTGACACATCAGTTAATGGATTGCAGAAACTGGTGACATTCCATTGGGACTACCTTCTAGATATTAAAGTATGTATATTAAATGTGTTTCATAATTTCATGAAGGCATTTAAAAAGTGACCTCCTCTGTGGTCTAGTGGTCAGAGTTCCTGGCCACAAGAGCACAGATGTCCTGGGTTCGAGTAGTGGGTCTGGAACAGGGTCCACTCAGCCTCGTGAGAATAATTGAGAAGCTATTTCAAGGAAACATGGCTCCGGTCTAGAAAACGGAGATTATCAGCCATGGGGATCCGTTGCACTGATAAGCAACACCCTCTATCCACAAATTTGACACTTAACTTCGCCAACACGCGGCGATCACTTGGTCGGTATAGTTCACTTGTGGACTACAGGCCACAGAGTTTGTTTTGTTTAAAAAGTAATCGTCCTGAATATAAGGCTTTCATCATCCCACAGAAACGGCACTTGACTGGAGTATAAGCTGTTCAGGAATAAGTACTGTGTTTACCTTAATATAAGACAACCCCCTCATAAGATTATAAATTTTCAGCACTATCAACATACTAAGTGATGTGCAACAGGATGCTACAGTATAATATTAATAGGATGGATATGAATTTTACAGATGATTTGATAAAAATCACGATCATTTTAGTTAGGCTGTGGGCCTAGATTAAACTGGAACATTTGAATGGCCACTACATCTTGATATTTAGTGCTTGTATTACAGGTGTGGTATTTTGCAACTGTCCAGATGTTCTTCTCAACACATCTGGGTTTTGGAAATATAGTGACATGTGCTGGAAGGCTTTATTCAAAGAAAAATGCCTTGTGGTAAGTAAAATAGTAGTTTTCTGAAAGTTCTTTTTCATCTGAATACTTATTCTAAGTCTTAACCCGTTGCCGTGGTTCGTCGTGTATGTTTCGTCAGGGATTTAAATCGTCTGGGGGGGTTCGACGTGTATGTTTCGTTCAGCTGCACACCTATGTTATAACGCCCATAATAATTGATGGTTTTGCTGTAGATTGTTAGATTTTTCGCTNCAGTCATCATTGTCCAAATTTTAAATACTCAGTACAACAAGACTGCTGTACAACAATACATTCCATATATCAAAATAACATATAAAATTACCTACATGATCAAGAGACCACCAAGACTCTTAATATAGTCATATAAAATCTTTTTTCTTAATATATAATACACCTATATCACAACAGTACGAGTAATAGTACCTTTTTCCTGTGTATTTTATTCCATAGTCTGTTGCATCCTAGCAATAGGCAATGGTGCTAATTTAACCCTTTGACGTGGTCATTTAAATTCCGCGGCCGTGGCTCCTGCGGTAATATATTCAGCCGGCCATTTAAATTTTGCTCGAAAATTATTTATTCATCATTGTTCTTAAATTCTATGAGATAGGAACATGAAACTTTCACTAAAATGATCTTAAATGGTGGTTTTATAACCTTACCTTATAATATGGGCGCCCTGTATCTCGGCCATGGAAGCAGGTTGTTTAGTATTTCAGCAGTGAATGGTACGCCTTGAAGGATGAAACTTTCACTAAAATGATCTTAAATGNACTGGAGTATAAGCTGTTCAGGAATAAGTACTGTGTTTACCTTAATATAAGACAACCCCCTCATAAGATTATAAATTTTCAGCACTATCAACATACTAAGTGATGTGCAACAGGATGCTACAGTATAATATTAATAGGATGGATATGAATTTTACAGATGATTTGATAAAAATCACGATCATTTTAGTTAGGCTGTGGGCCTAGATTAAACTGGAACATTTGAATGGCCACTACATCTTGATATTTAGTGCTTGTATTACAGGTGTGGTATTTTGCAACTGTCCAGATGTTCTTCTCAACACATCTGGGTTTTGGAAATATAGTGACATGTGCTGGAAGGCTTTATTCAAAGAAAAATGCCTTGTGGTAAGTAAAATAGTAGTTTTCTGAAAGTTCTTTTTCATCTGAATACTTATTCTGAATCTTAAACACATAAAATGAAGATGGAAAAAGGTAGGAGGGTAATGTTACACTTATGACCACTCATTCATTCATTTATTTGCAGTTCTACAAAATCCATGGAGGCGTCTGCCTCAGATATAGAACAAGTCAGCAATACAATATAACATGTGAATATACATACATAATCAGACAGTCATCATTGTCCAAATTTTAAATACTCAGTACAACAAGACTGCTGTACAACAATACATTCCATATATCAAAATAACATATAAAATTACCTACATGATCAAGAGACCACCAAGACTCTTAATATAGTCATATAAAATCTTTTTTCTTAATATATAATACACCTATATCACAACAGTACGAGTAATAGTACCTTTTTCCTGTGTATTTTATTCCATAGTCTGTTGCATCCTAGCAATAGGCAATGGTGCTAATTTAACCCTTTGACGTGGTCATTTAAATTCCGCGGCCGTGGCTCCTGCGGTAATATATTCAGCCGGCCATTTAAATTTTGCTCGAAAATTATTTATTCATCATTGTTCTTAAATTCTATGAGATAGGAACATGAAACTTTCACTAAAATGATCTTAAATGGTGGTTTTATAACCTTACCTTATAATATGGGCGCCCTGTATCTCGGCCATGGAAGCAGGTTGTTTAGTATTTCAGCAGTGAATGGTACGCCTTGAAGGATGAAACTTTCACTAAAATGATCTTAAATGGTGGTTTTATAACCTTACCTTATAATATGNTTCTTGACAACCAACATAAGTAAGGAAAATATATATTGCGATTGAAGTGACAGTATATGTAACTCCTTAAATAAATTACAGCACGAGTCCGCATTACGAGAATTGGTAATAATTCTTATTCTTTTCTGTATTTGAAATATGAGTTTTGCATGGGCCAAACTCCCCCAGAATATTATACCATAAGATGATATTGAATGAACTAGGGAGAAATAAACAGTTTTTAGGCACTCCAAGGATAAAAGAGGTTTTAATACTCTAATTACATAGGATGCCTTATTTAGTTTGGGTATCATTTGGTCAATATGGGTTTGCCATGACAATTTATGAACAATAACCAAACCTAAAAATTCTGTAAGATTCACATTGGTTATTTGTTTTTTTCCCACATAGTATATGTAAATCAAGAGCTCTTGTGTTTTTGGTTACAAATTGTAGAAAATAAGTTTTT